ATAGTTGACTCACAGTGATTGGACTGAGGCAACTGTGCCTCAGATGCGCCCACAAAATCATCATGTAAAGAGAAAAGGACCTATAAGTCATCATGGCGCGTTTAAAAAAAATTGATAATACGGCAATTGCCACCTGTGCACAACTGCCACTGCCACAGTCTAGGACGCTCCACTTTCAAATATGCAACAAGTACATCTCCAAATTATGGCAGCTGGGGCTTCATCGGGGAGTAGTATTATGGGCATGAAGCTGACTCAGTGCCAGTATATGTAAGAAAAAAAGTGAAGTACATGTACTACAACTAGCAAGGAAACATAGTTAGTACTAATTATCAGAGTGTGATGCTTGACGCCCATAACACTACTCCCTGATGAAGGGAAAACATTTGGAGACCCATGTAGTCTATTTCAAGTAGCAGTGTCTTAGAGCATAGTGGTGGTAGTAGTGGTAGTGATGCAGTCACATTATTAACAAAACCACTTTGCTGCCATTGGTCTCCAAAATTCACACATCCACAAGACACCATCAAAAAGGAAGCAAAATGGCAGGCTGAGTTTAACACGAGCCCAGGTTCAAATACCAATACCAAAAGATGAAAGATCCTACAACAAGAATGTGCATGGCAACAGTACCTGGCAGCTACAAGTGTTCCCTTGGCAAGATGGTGCAACTGATCAGCAGTACTGGCACAGAACATGGACTGCTTCTCAAAGAAGTTTGTCACCTCCTGGTATGGATGAAGCCAAAAGAAAAGAAAAACATATCAAGCAGAAGGTAAGGACAAACGGGGTGGGGGTGGGAGAGAGGTGGGAGAGAGACAGAAAGAAAGAAGAAGATCCTGTAAGTAACTGTACAACACATCATAGCTCACACACAGGAACATTTCATGCCAGTATTGGTACCCACTTTAAAAGCCCATAATGCCCCCCCCCCCCCCCCCCCCCACACACACATACACACACGCGTCACCGCATGCATACAGCGCTGTGCGATGTGCATAACACAGAAATCAGTACCCAGTGACGGCAATTGTCAGCGAAACATTCCTAGACACATCTCTTCACACAATACAGTCGACCTACCCTTATAACGATATTTGCGTCAGACCAAGAAATATTGTTATAAGGGTAATATTGTTATAGGGGTAACTGGTTCATTTCATACATATACGTCATAATACATGGATTTTGTTCATTTTTTACGCTCCTCATAGCATCAAAAACTATCGTACATGCACATTATGTACATAGCAAGGTGCCCACTGGTGCCCCCATTGCATTTCGTCATGTCCAAGCGACTTATCAAGTGAAGTTTGCCCTACCTGGATAGTGAGCTCTATACTCCCTGCTAGATATTGTTATAAAATGGAAAATGTCGATTGGTCAGCCCATTTTATATCGTTATAGGGGTAATATCGTTATAGCAATATTGTTATAGAAGTAAGGCATTGTATACACAAGTCAATGGAGTGATTTGGTTTGGCAGAAAAATATCGTTATAAGGGTAATATCGTTATAGAGGTTATCGTTATAAGGGTAGGTCGACTGTAATGCAATCGTGACATCATAAGCACCCAGTAGTCCAGAGCCACTTCTGCCAGTGCCTAGTACAATAATCAATATACACATAATAAGTAGTAGTTATTAAGTACATGAAGACTAAAGGAAAACTGGAAAAAGAAGGAGAGAAGAACAATTGCCCTAACCTGACACTGTTCAATGCATCGAGACGAGTTTGCCCACTTCACCAAGGCAAGCAAGCGAATAAACTGCTTCCTGATGCGCGTTGCAAATTTCACAATCTCAATTTTCCTGAGCATGGTGACAAGATAGAGTGGCAGTACGAGACAATACAATAACGTGATACTACACAGAAACTGTGCATACACCTGCAGTGCAATTAGCATGTTTCACCAGCATTGACCAGATAACACTAGACAATTTCTTTGGCTACAAGTGAGTCAACAGCAATAATTCCATCACCTGCAACACTTCACATACCAATCGGTACATGGACAAGTACAGGGACAGGTATGCATGCATCGAAGAGTATGAACAAGAGTGCATAACCAAGAGTATGCAACTGTGGTTATCGGTGGTCAATGTGTGGCACGCTGCCTTCATTACATAACTCGCCTGCATCACGATTTTACTCATGCACTAAACACACACACACACACACACACACACACACACACACACACACACAAATGAGGTCATGTAGTGAAACAGTATAGCTGGCTTAGTCAGGGTCCAGGATGTTATATGGTGTGTGTGTGTGTGCGTGTGTGTGTACATGCGTGCGCATGAGCGCGTGTGCATGCATGCGAGCGTATGTATGTGTGTGCGTGGGTGCGCATGCGTGCGTGTGTGCGCGCACATGCGAGTGTGAGCGTGTGTATGTATGTGTGTGTGTGTGTGTGTGTGTGTGTGTGTGTGTGTGTGTGTGTGTGTGTGTGTGTGCATGAGGTGGTTTCACTCTCGTGGTGGCTTGCGTGTACATCATTGTTTGCCCCTGGAACCATCGGAAGCGTCCGCGCCGGCATCACCTATTCCGCTCAACGTCCCAGCTTCTCTCTTGTGTGTGACATGCAATCGGCAGTTCAAGTCAGTGCCTGGTTTCAGACGTCACAAGTGCGACCGTGGCCATCGAGCAACCAAGTCTGATAGAGCGTCGTATGGTGTTCGCTGTTCTCGCTGCAGCCGTCAGTTCCGTCGACAGAGTGACCTGAGTCGTCATCTCCGTTTCTGCTCCTGACAATGACTCTGGCTCCTTTCGGAGTGGTGTGGCCCTTGTGGCAGCCAAGCTACAGTAGTAGTACAGTAGTGTGTGTGTGTGTGTGTGTGTGTGTGTGTGTGTGTGTGTGTGTGTGTGTGTGTGTGTGTGTGTGTTGTACGCACCGTACTACGTGACCAAGTGTGAGCAGTTTCAGATACTGCCTACTCCACAGCCAGCATAGTGAGGGCTCTGAGCACAAGCTCTCTTGTTACTACCGCCGATGAAAGTCGTATAACGGATGGTTTACGAAAATGAATACGAGACTGGCATCACTATTGAAGATAAAGCCGCAGACCTCATGGCCGATACGCACTGTATATACTTGATGAAGTCATACAAGACACCGGCCATCAGTGTGCTCGGGATTGCGCAGTGGGAGATGAGCATGACAGCCAACCCAGATCAACAACGCACTGGTTCTACCCCCATTTGGCACAACTGTGCTGTAGTACTGTCTGTGCGATAGTGCAAACGTACAATGACGCATTGCTGAATTTATCACATGAATGCACCTTTGAAGATGTGGGTCCAATCAGGAACCAGTTTTCTCCCAGACTAGGTGAGCTGGAGAATAAATATTTATAGTCGAATCGGGATGGGGGCGGCAGTCAGTTGGCACACTCGTAGAATGGGGTAGTACCCAGAGTCAGCAATCAACCAATAGCAATACGTACTAATCCTCGAAGCCATCATTATAATTTATATATTTTACACAAAATGCCATGACAAATGGAACAAATAATTGAAAAGGTGGATTTCAAAATGGACAAGTAAAGCCAGACAGATCTCCTTTCAGAAAAAAAGAGTCAAACGAGACTTTAATTTACCTTTCCATGTCATGCTTGCGAGGAAGCCTGTACGCAGCACACAGAATAATTCAACAAGGACCAAATAATAAACGCCACAGCTTCGACAGAACAAATCCACTGAATATCAGGTAAACTAACAATTCAGCTAACACGGAAAGATCGTGGTATGTCTTCTGCAACATATTGTCGAGCAGTTGCCCGAGGCTCACGCCAGGCTTCTGCAACTCCATTCTATCGTCCACCGTGCTCTATGTGAAGACTACATTCTCTCTTCCTCTGTTGGTCAGACAAAGCATCCACGACGCCTTCTTGCTCCTGACCACCTATTTTTTTGTTGAAATTTGGTTGATACGGAGTAACAGCACAAAAATTGATGTGGTCAACTGAAAATTATTTTGCGACTTTACGGTGCACAATGCACAATGCACATGCACAACCGCATGCTGCATGTGTGCGCGAACGTGCGCTTGCACATGCATGTCCCCAGCTAGCTAGCTACCAGCACCACGCGATCGTAGTCTGTCGACATGTCTGTGGCTGCGACCACATAATCTGGTCATGTCAAGGACATGATCGGCAAAGCCAAGCAAGACGATCGACGAGTAAACAGTCAGCCCTCCCCCCCCCCCCCCCCCCCCAGGCTCCCCGACACTCGATCGACGAGTAAACAGTCAGCCCTCCCCCCCCCCCCCCCCCAGGCTCCCCGACACTGCGATACAATCATGTATGATGTAGGCTTATTAGCCGCTATGACTAGTACACTCAAACGCCTCTTCCGGACGCCTCAGATACGGGCACGTCTCTCTACCGGGCACCTTCAGCTTGCTTCGAATTATTTGGGGGTTTTGAACTTTTTTCCGTATGAGGAAGTGCTCATTTTTCACTGCCACCCTATATGTAATCCACACATTTTTATCAATGGGTTCCTTTTGCATCCTGAACATGTGCAATACGTTCAAAATAAACTACTTCTTCAAAAATGATATGATACATGGTACATGAGTTATCCTGAGATACGGGCAAATCTGAGATACGGGCAGTGCCCGGTCCCAAGGTGCCCGGATAAAGAGACGTCCGAGTGTATGAGCCATGGCGGTGGAGATCGAGGCCGGACTGAAGCAGTGAAGGGAGCAGGGAGTGGTATTGACGAATAAATCTTGGACCTGCCTGGTGCCGGTGCCCGGTGGTGATAAGAATACTATAGACTACAGTAGTAGTAGTACTGTAGTACGGTTATTACCGGCGGTAGCTGTGTGTTGCTCCCTACATGGCCATGGGAGCTTGCGGTATTCCTGCCGACTTGACTGACTCACGACTGCCATCCGGAGCACACCAGATGTCCATCGAACCTTCCACTCGGCAAACCTGCATTGCAAGAAAGAACCACTTCCTGCTCAATACACAGTGTTTCGGCCCGAACCTGGCCGAAGTCGCACCAACCTCTTCTTCACATTACCGGTAGTACTAAAGAATTGAACCTCAGTATCTTTTCCGTTTGGAGTTGCGGAGGTTGCCTAGAGGCTAGACGGTAGAATGTAGTAGATAGAATGTAGTAGATGCTGAGGACAACCAGTGACTCCTAACCGGACCTCACTGACCAGGAGTAGCCGCCAGCCTTACTGGTGTTACCGGTGATTATGATGCTGAACGAGTCTGAAGTCTAGACTAAAGTCTGAAGGCGCTACTTGACTAATGCGCATTACCCGTGGTGCCTTGACCCTGTCTCTGCTGCCGGATGACTGATTAGGGAGATTAGCATGAGGCAGATTAAGATAGCATGCGCTGCCTCCACACTACAGTGCAGCGACTACATGTATGTTGCTCTTATCTGGAGAGGAGCTCCGGAGGTGTCATTTTGTCATTTCCGGTGCGGCTGGGCTACATCATAGTAATCAAATCAGTACATGTACCTTGGAAGTTTATAGCAGCTAGCCAGCTGCTGTAGCTCTTCCTGGACGTGTGGTCTATTGTAGTGTAGGAGTACAAAGATCGTAATCGCTGCCAATTTTCATGATCATCGGCCATGGATCATGCTCAATTTTCACCTACAGCATACAGTGCACCAGTCTCCTGACTCCTCACGGTGAGGACACCTTCGAAATGGGACAGCTTGGGCAGCTAGTAGTACTCAGTTTGGGTCATGGCTCACACTTCTCAGGTGCCACTACCGGGCAATACTAGTAGTAGCTGGAAACTACAAAGTACAGTATGAAATCCATGTAGAATTTTTTGGCAGAATAGAATGTGCCTGTAGCACACACACACACACCATGTACCATGTATACGCCCGTCGCAAGAGAAGCACGCAAATCTGCAAATGCACTGGATGTGCACCCACAGATTTTCTCTTTATAGCAACGATAGCGGATCTGATTCTGATTGAAACAGATCAAGACAAGCGCCAGATAACTGTCTAATCCACACAACTGGCGAAGCCATATGAATTGACCCCCCAATGCACACCTGGTCTACACCATACACACACACACACACACACACACACACACGCACGCACATGCACACACACACACACATACACACACACACATACACACACGCACACACACACACACACACACACACACACACACACACACACATGTTCTTCCTCAGACCTGTGCTGTGCTTGGGTATTTCTGTTTCGAGATGAAACAGTACTAATGCGTGCTGAACCCTGTGATGATCGGACAGGCACGTGCTGCCTGCTTCTGAAAGCTGATCCCCCGCCACCACAACCACACATTTGACCTGTTGACGCCAACGCTGGAGGCGATGATAGCGATGCTACAGCAGAGGCCATAGCAACTTGTGCTGGGATTACACCATTCAAGAGATTGCAAGGCTGAAGAACTGACCGCCAGTCCCACTATTCATCCTGGTCTACATACACAGCTATGAAGTGTCTTTTTTCTGGCCATTGAATCCCTACGTTTAGTGGCCTTTTTCATTTTTCCCGCACACACACATCACACCACATACTCCGACAGGCATTGGCTGTTGTACTAATGCGTGCTGAACCCTGTGATGATCGGACAGGCACGTGCTGCCTGCTTCTGAAAGCTGATCCCCCGCCACCACAACCACACATTTGACCTGTTGACGCCCATCGCTGGAGGCGATGATAGCGATGCTACAGCAGAGGCCATAGCAACTTGTGCTGGGATTACACCATTCAAGAGATTGCAAGGCTGAAGAACTGACCGCCAGTCCCACTATTCATCCTGGTCTACATACACAGCTATGAAGTGTCTTTTTTCTGGCCATTGAATCCCTACGTTTAGTGGCCTTTTTCATTTTTCCCGCACACACACATCACACCACATACTCCGACAGGCATTGGCTGTTGGTAATCACCCAATGGAATGAAAGAAAGGTCAGGAGGAGTCTGAGAAAGAGAAGAAAGACGTGGGTGACCATAATCGTCGACAATCGCACACACGCACACACACACACTAGGCATATGCGGATAATGCCGGCAGAAAAATTGGCAGAATTCGGTACTTTTTCTGGTAAGTTTCATGCATTTTTGGTATGTGGATAAAGAAATGGAGCAGAATTCGAGGAATTGCCCGCCATATGGTTTGTATGGTTCTGCCAATTTCACTGCTTTTCGAGCAGAAGCTGCCACCTTTCGAGCATTATCCGCACACCCCTAACACCATGTACCATGTACCATGTATACGCCCGTCGCAAGAGAAGCACACAAATCTGCAAATGCACTGGATGTGCACCCACAGATTTTCTCTTATAGCAACGATAGCGAACAAGATCTGAATGAGGCAGATCAAGACTTGCGCCAGATAACTGTCTAATCCACACAACTGGCGAAGCCATGTGAATCGACCACCAATGCACACCTGGTCTACACCACACGGACTACATCGGCTTAAAACGGCCAAGACAGTTACCTAT